CTGCTGAAATTCCCGTGGTATTTTGGGTTGCCCACACACACACACAGCAGCTGAACCAAGCCAACCCTGGGCTCAAATGTCCTTGAACGTCAGGACCTTGCAAACGCTGCCGTCTTTCCTGCGGCAGCATAGCACAAGCCAGCAGCTCGTGTCTGCCTTGCTGCCTTGTCCTATGCATCACTCCAAGCAAGATGGCACAGTGCGGAAGCACGTTGCTCCAGCCGAAATGGTCGTGAGCAAAAAGAGTTTGGACGAATGCAGGGAGAGAAGAAGAGACGGTTAAGGAGTGGCAACACGTAGTTAGAGTGACGCTTTCGCATGCTGAGCCACTGCAACTGCAGCATGACATACACCAGTATCAGTGGAGGGGAGGGACCGGCGAAACTCCAAGCCTGGTGAGCTGAGCCCGCGCCGGCATGCCCCAGCACACGATGGCACGCAGCTCAGGCATTTCCTGGCCAGCTGCTTGCGATGTGTTTGCTAAATCAAAGAATCTTCGCTTTGGCCACAACCCACGTTCCTCGACATGTTTCGCAGTCGCTTCAAACTCCGCCTCCCCATCCACCACCATGACCTCAGCCATGCCAGAACTCTCGACCTGCTCAGCCCAGTGCCACCGCACCCTTGTGCGCGTCTAGATCCCACGACGTCCAACCATGCTCCGTGAGACCCAGGAAATGAGCACTGGAAAGCCGGCGAAGGAGTAAATAGCATCGTGTGTGGTGGTCTGCTTGCGAGAGGGAAGGCACCGCTGCGTTGGAGTGGTCGACCTTGTACTGCACCTGATGGCAAGCAGTGTACCCGCTTGAAACACCGTGTAGTTGGTTAGTTGGTTCGTCGATAGTCAGCTAGTTGTTGATTAGGTTGGATGGATAGATAGCTAGATAGTCAGTCGAGTCAATTGGCTTAGTTAGTTTAGCCAGTCCCAGTCTCATTTGTCAATCTAGTTGAGTCAGTCTAGTTAGTAAAGTCAGCTAGCTCGCTATTTAGTTAGTGCTTTCGTGCCTTCGTGCGTTCCTTGGTTGGTTGATCGGCTGGTCGGTTGGTCGGTCGGTGGGTCGGTCGGTTGGTTGCTCGGTTGGTCGGTCGGACTTGGTCGTTGATTGGTTTGGTTGGTCGGTAGGTGGGTGGCTCTGTGGGTGGGTGGGCTTTCGAGTTCGGAAAGTTCGAAGTTTGACGCCTGCTGGCTTGTGCGTACCGAGGTGCCCCAACTTACGACCTCCAGCACCTTTCAAACCTTCAAATTTCGAAACTTTCAAGCTTCAAGCTGTCAAACTCTCAAACCTTCGACTTCGAACGAACTTGCTCGGGACCTGGCGGGTTGGTCGTTTGGTCCGTTGGTCAGTTGGACGGTTCGTGGGTTGGCTGGTTGGGATGGTTGCTTCATGGATTGGTGGGTTGTAGGGTTGGTGGGTTGAATGGATCGGCTGGTTGGCTTGGTGGGTTTGTTGGTTGGTTGATTGGTCGGTTCGTTCGCTCATTGCAGCTACACACCCTCTGCCGGCATTTGCCTGCTCCGGCGTATCCGTGGAGTAGATGCCGACGTATTTGCCTTTGGATGAGCAGGGAGGAACCTGCCGCTCACGCTTCTGAAATAAAGTTTCGGGTTCTGAAATACAAGTTGACAGTTCGGCATCGCCGAGCAGCCCCCACAAAGCATGGCCGCGAGAGCACTCAGCATCCACTCCGGAGCCTAAGGTGGACTCTGAGTCAACAGCAAGCACAAGCTGTAGCATCCATGTCTGCAACATTCAGCCAAATCTTATCAACCTATCGCCGAGCAGCATTGAAACCAAAAATCGTCACACTCCCAAACTGTTGGACGCCCAGCCTGGTCGCAGTCAAGATCAAGCAAACTGGTATTGGGAGCAGTTGCAAGACGCTGCACCAGCGCACCTAATCATTGACTGGCTTAATCGCATCTATGCCAACTTTTGTAAGGCCTCTGCTACAGTTGCCGATGCAGCTTAAACTCCTTCCCCCGCTCCCCCGAACTGTGTGCAGCTCGATCACTGGATGAAAGCTTTTGCAAGCTTGCAAGCATCTTCGTAGTAACCCTTCCATGTCCACTTCGCCCATGCCTGAAGAAACAACGATCAAGCCATCTGCCGCTACAGCATCTCACTTTGAATGAGTGCGACGCATCTCCTTCCATACAGACGGCTGCACAGTCGCATGAGCCGCATGTGCCTCCCAAGGCAGCGAGGGAGCTTCGCCAGTTCGGACGAGTGCCGGCACCGGTTTCTCAGCAGCCAAGGCAGGAACCTTCGGCGAAAAGCGAACGCTGTGCGCAGTGAGTTCTGATCTTACACATTGACATGAGTTGGCACATCTTGATTGTCACCTTCGCTCACAGCAAATGAAAACGCCCTGTAATCCTCGCATGAAGCGTCAACTGAACATATCCTAAATGTTGGCATATTCGAAGACAACAGGAGCTGAACTCTGACATCGCCCATCAAATATAGAGGACCTCACAATGTTGGAACTTCTTCAGGACAAGAGTGAGAGTTTCTAAGGATCTATAGCGGCTATTCAACGCTATTCAACGTCCAGGCTGTTGCGGAGCTCTGAACCTGGGCAATGGCTGAAAACCGTCTCAGCTCGCCGGGAATGGGCCGTTGCGTCTAAGCCGGTACCTCTTCAGTGCTGTGAAGCACTGGGCTTCTCGCTTCAAACATCTTGAAAACAACTCTTAAGCCGTTGCAACGATCTAAGAATGCAACCAGGAGCTTCTGACGGCTTCCAGGACCTGGAGCCTCTGCGACCTTCTGTCATTCATTGAGCCCTTGTATGATCCAATATCCCCGGTTCAGAAAATTCTACTCAAGCAGCAGTTCGAACATCTCGGGATCCCCCAAGCTTTAAGTGCGTTCGGCCCGTTCTGCTTTTCATTCGTCTGCCGGCCTCGCCTAGCTAGCCACTGGCGTTATCAGCAATGAAGGAACTGGCCCAATCGCAGCTGATCGTCCGTGCTTGGTGGGCATGAAGGCGTGTGTCAACGTGAAGTAAGAACTATGAAACTCCCGTCCTGTGCCACTGCCCTGATCCTGAAGAGCGCGTGCCGCGGTGTTGGCAAACAAAATTCACTGAATAGCCCTGACCCTCTCGCTCGCTCTGCCTCTGTCCCGCCCTCTCTCGATGCAACCTCGGGGAAGTTCTTCGCGGCTTGTTCCAAAAAGGACGTAAACAACGTCGACCTGCAGCATCTGATCATGAAAGTTGCTGCTGATGGAATTGGAGCGCATGACATGGACGATCAGGGTTCTGGTGCATCCAACTGGGCACCCGGCGGGGTTTCTTGGGCAGACATAATACCGACTTCGGGATACGGCCACCTCTTGCACGTGGCCAGGTGATGCTGACCGACAGCCCACTGCGCTCACCCGCTGCTCATGGAAATCCACAACACCATCAAACAAATGGAACACTCCGACCTGTGTCCTTCACTTCCGTTCACGTAAACACCCCCGTTCAGACTTTACAATTTGTATGAACTTACCCATTTGCGCATGGGGCACTTGTGCTCGTAATCAGGGAAGATGCCAAAATGCTCCCCCGGCTCGTAAACCGGAGTCTGCGACATCCACCGGGCAGCAGCTACATGCACCAGGTCCCGCTACAGAATCAAACGGTGTTCGCTACATGTCCTAACAATGCACGATATCGCCAAGAGCCTTTGCCGAAACTCATGAGCACCAATTGCAACTTCAACTGCACCGTGGATGCACTACAATGTAGCATGTGGCCGTCCTCGCTGCCCGCGACAGCGATGGGTGCCAGCAGGTGTCTCGTCACAACCTTCATGTGCCGCACGACCAAGCAACCACATGAACTGTTTTGGTCTGCGCATGTCTGCGCCTGCACCCTTTCCGACATGACGGTCGGCGGCCCAAGACTTGCTAATGCAGATTAAAATTGAAACTCGTCTGGGCCGGAACTTGCACCGAAACAAGCATCCTTAACACGCTGCCCGATCGAGAGACCCTAGCAACAGCGCAGCCATGGAGTTGTTTTTGCACATGTTTTTTCCACGGACCGTTTTGCTCCTTCGTTCGCAGTCTTGCACATGTTGTTCCCTGCGCAGACTATTATCAGCGGGACAATACTGCCACGCTACCCCCATTGTTGTGTTTCTCCCTAGACATTTATGCTTGCAGGGATGTGTCGGTACTACAGTTCTGAAGCATGCAGGCCGCAGTTTTTCTCCCCCCAGCATTCAGCAGGCCTGGGCCGTTCCTTCCCCGTGTGGTCTTCCCACCCTGGAAAAGGTTTTGGTCCCGCATCTCGCGCATGCTGCAGGCTGCATTGGCAACCGATGAAGCTGAAGGCAATCAACAAACCGTCCATGATGGACGTACCAGTGTAGCCAACTGAGCCTTTGTGAAGACGCCCTTGAGTTCATGCTGGGAGACCCCCTCCCGGATCATCCTTGCGGCAGTGTAACCATGTTTCTTCAACTTCACAAGGTTGAACCCTGCTTCCATGAGCTGCCGCTATCAGTTTTGGATACCCAACTCTCGACCCAGCTCTCGCATGCTGGAGCCAGCTTCGTGCAAGCGCACAGCGGTAAAGCCAGCTTGGATAGGTCCTTGCACCCAAAACCAATGGATTGCAATTGCCAGAGCTTCGCGCCCGCTGCTGCAAGCTCAGCAGCTGTCCAGGCGGGTCACTCAGCTGCCACTGCCAGAAGCTCCGCGAGAACAATGCCGTTCTGCCAGCAGCTGCTGCGGTCTGAAGCCCATTCGACACAAGTCGATCACAGAACAACCATTCGTCTTCAGCTGCAAAGCGCTGCACCCCGCCTTCGTGAGTTGTTCGAAGCTGAATCCTGCAACCCGGAGCTGATAGCAGTAGAAGCCCGCGACGAGTAGCATTTCCGCCGAGAAACCTTCCAACTTGAGCTTCCCGGCACGCAAACCGGCGCCCTTGAGAGCCTTCAACTCATCAGCTGTCCACAACTTGGCCGCCGTAGCTGAGCCGTTTTGCTTAAAGTGGTACACTCTTAGCTGGGCGTCCTTGCCAGGATCAAACTGGAGGGTTTCGGACTCCTCAAAACCGGCTTCGAGTAATTGGTGGACATCGTAAGCTTTGCAAACTTCGTCTTTGGACAATGGATTTGCGCCATCCGGCAGCAAGCTGGGTTGGAATGCGAGCCGTTTGAAATCTGTAGCGTTCAAGTTATGCTTCTTGAAGCCTGCAGCAAGCTTTTAGCTGCAGTTGCAGGAAGCCCCAATTGACGCAAATCAAAAGCTCTCATACCGGTGAACTGGACAATCTATTGCACAATGAAGTCTTCCTCGAAGAACGCCATTGTCTGGAAACTGACCGCTCCAAGATGATTGAACAAATTCGTGCAGTCGCAGCTGTTGTAAGTTCCGTGGGCAGCCTTTTGGAAAGGCCTTGAGCCGCACGTGGCAGGTGATTGTACTACGCCTGCCGTGACCCTGTCAACGAGACCTGTAAGCCAAAACGGACAGGTGGCAAGCGCAACGCCACGACTTCATGCTTGCACATGTTAAATGCGATCACAAAATATGGATTTTGTTGCAAACCCAGAAGTGATGCTGCGCTTTTGCCTTTTGCTGCAGGCTAGCATATTACAAGCCGCATGCGTAGGACACTGTTTGCAACACCTCCTGGTTCAAAGGCATTTGTTGACTTCAGCCTAAGCCCTGGGCTGCGGCACTACTTCAGAAATGTCCATCTCTAGCCTGGTCGGGCTTCCGCAGCGCAACCCTACCCCAAGAAGCCTAACACCCCAGAACCAGCTTATGGGCAGGCTGCTGACGTAGCTGTGAGCCTAACTTATTATAGCGAGCATATCCTTGCGACACCTGCATCAACGGCCACCGGCTCATGATAACCACACACCTGCAAAGCTGCATCTACTTGCCGGGAGCCACCAAAGCTCCCGGGGTACACCAAGAACGCTAAAACATGCTAAACTTTTCCAAGAACTCCTTCGACAAGCCGTTAGGCAGAGCCATGCACCGACCTTTCGGTTGAAGCTACATCCCCGAAAACGTCCCTTTTGTGGCCGATTCGAAAAAAGCAAATCGATGGCTCGGCTGGACACTAGGACACTCCTACTCGAGCCTTAGCCAAGGTCGTGAGACCAGCTCCTGCTCAGCCCCCGAGGCTGTTTGAGAAGCTCGGCCATCAATGATCCAAGGCCTCTGAAGCTCAAAGGGCTGGCCGCTACAGTAACCCCTCTCCGCGGCGAGCCTTATGATCTTGTTCCAGTGGGAATCTGCTGACAGCAACCGCAGGTTTCCCACGAGCACCAGCATCGACCTCGCGCGGCTGAGAGCCACGTTGGAGCGCTTCTCGTTTCCCACAAAACCGAGGGCAAACTTCAGGTCCATTGGCACCTCGTTCTCCTGACGGGAGCGCACGGTGGAGATTAGAATGATGCGATTCTCACGGCCTTGAAACTGCTCCGTAGTTCCCACCAGAGCTGGGAATTGCTCCGTCTTGCACATGAGCCGCAAACGCTTGCACTGCAGTTGATAGGGAGTGATGATGCCCACATCCGTTGCAGGAACACCCATTGCACTCAGCTCCTGCACATACGTGCGGAGTACTTCCACCTCGTCTGGGTTTGACCAAGACGGTGACGTTGATTCTCGAGCTTCAGATCCACAGACGTGATGGAAGATCACCGGGTGCCGGGTCCCAACAGCACCCAAGGAGCAGCGGCTCCAGTGGGTCATGTCATAGCTGCTTGCTGGGCATGAGCATTGCAGCATTCCACCATACATGGTGATATTGTAGATGTGCATGATGCTGGGATGAGCTCTGTAGGACCGTAAGAGTGTATGAACTCGCCGGTGGTCGATGCCAATATGCTGCACGACACGCTCGAGTAGGGACGTATCCAAGCCCCGCTGAGCAGCCTCAGGCGATCTTATCACAGGACCCAGCTGCTTGAAGTCACCTGCAAGCACCACCAGGGCTCCTGCCTCTGCAACGCTGATGGGGATTAAAACCTCTGGTTCCAGGGCTTGCGCGGCCTCATCCACAAAAACGTGGGTAAACCAGCCCGGCAGCCTCGCTTGGCTCGCCAGGTAGCCCGCCGCTGTGCAGGTGGAAACGATGATGTCAAAGGACTGCAGCTCTTCCAGGCTTGGGATGCTGAAGGTGTCAAAACCAGCTTGACCTCTCCTAGTGAAGGGCTTCACAGAAGGTGGCACGTCCGCTTCATTGCGAAGCATGCCGTTGAGACGCAGCATCTTGACAATGCCTGCGGCGCCCAGCTTCTCACAAATCAAGTCAGCTGCGGCGTTGGACGGGGCAGTTGCTAGCACCTTCGCGCCGGGGATCTGTAGAACCTTGTGGATGGCAGCGACTAACCTGGAATTTGGCACCGGCAGTGCGGAAGAGCTACTGTAGCGAGGACCTAAAATCAAGCAGAACACCTTACACAAAGCATGAGCAAGCACGTGGTGACGGAGGGCGTGGTGGTCTTGCCTGTGCCGGGAGGTCCCCAGAGCAAAAGCGGCAGAACAGATGGTACCAACTGCTGATGCTGGCCATGTATGCAAACAGGTTTGACTTGGTCGAAGTTGTACGCCACGTACTCAGGGCCAGATGGGAACCCTTTGTACAGCACGGAATCAAAGCCTTCGCTCTGCAGCTTGGTGAACGTTATTGTGGAGTCGGTGGTGGTTACCTCCTTGATCCGCCCAAGCTTCACGAGACACTCCAAGATGGGACCGTGATGGTGTGCCTTCCTGTGTGTATCAGCAGGGGTTTTGGCAAAGTAGATGCCGCCACCCAAAGCACCTGTGCGGCCCCTGAACATTCGCCCTGATTCCAAAATTCTCTGAGCCGAAGTGGTGTCTGTTTGATGGTACAGCAAAGTCTCCCCACCTTTCATCAACCGACGATCCCGCGCAGTTGAAGTTGCACCCGACAGGCTCTCGTTCAACTCCCTCTCTGCCGCAGACAAAGTGATCCGTGTGATGCGCCGGGCCCGGACGACGGTCTCCACAAAGCGCGACTGCTCTTCATTCAGGCCAGGAGCAGCAACGGGAGCCGCCGTGGGCATCTGCCCGGGCTCGCGGCTGTAAACAAAATGCACTCGATCGCTGGTGTCTGCCAAGGCACGGTGCATGAGCTTCAGGGGCGTTCGGGTGAAAAAGAATTTCACCTCAAACGGCGGATTGTTGTCGAACGTCTGGTGGAATGACAGATCCACCCTGTCGAGTTGCACTCTATGCACATATGCCTTGAAACGTCCAGTCTTACTTATGACCAGTACTGCATCGCCACGAAGGACGGAGGGGCGCTTCTCTGCAACACCAGGTACTTCCAGGCTGAAGAGTTTGGAGACACCGATAGCAAAGGTAGGTTGCAATGGCTCCTTCACATGCATGTCGTAGATGGCGATATCAAAGCTCATTTGCAATTCCTCTGCAGACAGCAAAGTGCTGAAGATCTCAGGCCACCGCTGCAGTGCTGTAGACAGCTCCAGGGCCCCATACTCGCCGTGGAGCTTCAAACAGGGCACATCGCGTTCCTTCAAGATCTTCTCGACCTCCCTGCGCATCTCCAGCATGCGGTGCTTCTTCCTCAACTACGGCATTCCACGCCCAAGACATTGCGGCTCAAAAAACATTGTCGAGGCAATTCGGAAGGAAGCGCGAAAAAAAAAAACATGATGCAAACTTGCATAGTTGGAAGACTTCGGAAGACCTGAACCACCAGGACTCGGGGTGCTCAAGTAAATTAGATTTGCTCTGCTGGGCAGGTGCTCGGGATCCCGGGCAAATCCAGATCTCAGGCGATTTTGTTGAAAGTGTATAATTACCTAGGAAGCACTGGCCGCTTGAAAAGAAAGAGAGAGAGAGAGAGAGAGAGGGAGAGACGGATGGAAGGACAAACCTAGAGAGAATGGACAAACACAGAGACAGACAGGCATGGAGACAAACAGAGAGACGAACAGACAAGGGGACACGCAGACCAAAAGGAGAGCAGCAATCATGTGAATTTGCGAAGGGTCAATCAACAGCCTCACACCTCTCGAAACGCGTGTGCCCATGGCACCCACCCCCACCCCCCCATCCCCCAACAGAAATGCACAAGCAACCCGTGAACACTCAAATCTTAAATCTGACGTAGGTTTCGGGGGCTTTAGGCTCTGGGGCGAGGCTTGGTTGTTTGAGAGCCTAGACTCAACTTCTTGAAATCTGCCGGCAGCTCGGACGGCGCCAATGGGCGGGCGAAAACTGCGGGCACGGCGGGCCGCTGGCCTTCCAAGCTGCCTTCCAGCTCGCCTGGGCCTCAGCTTTCATAGCAAGATTTGGCTTTAATAATTTAAGGTTCAGGGAGGGGAGGGGGAGGGGAGGGGGTTCAAGGTCCTGGGTCTAGTGGCTTGTTGCTTTAAGAGCACATGGTGCAACAGCATCCTCATGATGGCGATGATGCACCCCGCAACGGGGCTTAACCTGGAACAACCCCTGGGTGAATATTTAATGCTGACAAATCCGGTTGAAAATGACTTAATGACATCATCTTACAACTGCCTCCAATTCAAACAATCCAGATGGAAACTTCAAAAATGTCAGCAATCGATCAGTCCAGGGGCACGTGTCTTTCCAGGTTTTGCCTTGCGCAGGCCGCACAACCTTCCAAAAAGCACCCTGTCTGCGGCGCACGGGTTTGAGAACATACCATTGCTTCAATAGATACAGACCGGTGGAGAAACCACCAGTGGCGGCACCTTGCTCTTCGCAGAATTGCCACCACAAGGAAAGCAATTCCTCCCTGGAGTAGGTGTCGGGCTCTGCTTCCAGCAGCTGCCAAGCAAAATCGCTGGCGAATCGTAGGACCCGACGGGTGGCAACCATGGCTCCAAGACTATATTTGCAAAACCGCGGAAACCAGCTAGCATGCCTGAGCACAAGCTTTGGCTGAGGACTGCGCGAAACCATCCAGAGTCTCCTACAGGGCCCGCAACAATCTAAAGTTCCGGCTTAAATCCCTAGTGACCTTCTGGTACATTTCAAAACGCTGTGAGTTGTAAAAGGTTTTGCGTTTTGCAACTGTTGAAGACTCCACTGTGCAAACTGTTCAAACCAGTTGCTCAAACACACAGAACCTAAGTGACCCACTAAACACCAAACCCATCTGCAGGTGCAGCGGACGAGAAACCCCTCGGGCGTCTTAGCCCACCAAGGGCGGATGCCCCACCGTGGAAAAGCCTACCCGGCCTAGTGCAAGCACTCAGGCAGCTGCCAGGTGCTGTACGCGTGGGCTACCCAAATTCCTTTTTTACCGTGCCAAGGGCATCAGTCGGCAGTTCGGGCGCTTCCTCCCCGTAAAGCAATGTGCGGAGACACAAAGCAACGGCAACGAGAGTTGCAGTCGCAAAAAGGCGCGGAAAAAAAAATCACGACACTACCTTGCGCAAGTACCACGAAGCCATTGCACCAAGACCTCCTGCCCACATCTTGCCGTTCTGCTGCCCAAGGCTCGTTTTGGCGGACTCGGAGCATGCTGCCTCGGATGCTGCTTGGCTAAAGTATGCTAAAGTTACCTGACCGGCACATGCTGGGGCTCGGCGCAGCACCCCGTCTGGAGCACCGCAGGTTACTGAGCAGGGCTGGGCAAAAAAAATTCGACGGGGGAGTCGGAGCACCAGGCCAAGTGGTTCGTCAGGCTCAAGCGGGCGTCGGGCAGTGCAGTGACATCGCGCAACAGTGCCGACGCCGCTTGTTCCCCCATGAAAACGTGCAGCAACGCCTCTTGGACAGTTGCGGGTCTGTACTCGTACGAGTGCTCGCCCTTCATCGGTCGCAAGCTGTTACAAGGCATGCAATGCATGCACCAACGGGGCTTGCGGAGTTCGCACTGGCTAGCAGGGAGGCTTCCAGAGGCACAGCACAGCTTTTCTACCGCAAACATGCAAAGTGCTTTGTGTTCTGTGAAACGTGTCGTGTGCACTGCCATGCTGCTGTTCTAAGCAGACCTGTGCACAATCTGAGCAGGCATGCCATGTAAGCGCACCAGCTAAAGCTCGGGCCGGCTGACCAGACAACGTGCGATGCATCCAGGGGAATCTCACACTCCTTCTTTTTATTTTGTCTGGTCGCCGTCATCATCTTCCAAGTTGCATGGCCTTGAGCTGGGAAATCGTCGCCTGTAGCTGCTGTTTCCGCTGCTGTTGCTTGGCTTCGTCGTTGGCCTTCTTGACCACTTTGCGCTTGGCACGCTGCTCCTGCTGTTTGGCCTTCAGCTTCCGGTTGGCTTCGCTCTGAGTGAGGCCGATCAGGCCCGTCCGGAGGAACTCCTTGAGGCCCTCCTTGTCAGCGCCGCTTTTGGTCAGCACGTTGCTCATGTTCTGCTGACCATCTATCCATTTGACGTCGGCGCCGGGCTGGCGAACTGTTTCTCGAAGCAGGGCTCCTTCGATGGCCATCTGCTTGTCCGAGCTCGTACTCGTAGCATCCTTCTGCAGGTAGTCGTAGACAGAGCGGGCATCGGTCACATAGATCCGCTGCCTTTGTTGGATCACCTCCGGCCAGTTCTGCAAGTCAACTTTCCCGGTCAGGGCCTCCTCGAGGACCACTATGATCCAGTCGCCAGCCTCCACGGCCTCCGCCAAGTGCGAAGCCTCTGCGGCCAAAGTCGACCGGCAGACTCGTTTGGTCTGCCCCGAGTTGAAAGCCAAGACATTGGCCTTCACCTGTTTCCCTTCCAGGATCCCCTTGTTCGCGAGGAGGATGAAGTAGCCGCCCACGCTCCTGTAGCGCACCTTCTCGTCGTGCTCGGGCGTGCCGTTGGCGTGGCCTGCGTCCGACAGGTGGACCACAACACTGTCCTTCAGGGACACGTCGGCCCAGAACCGTAGGTGAAAGTCGGCTCCCCGGCGCGCAGCCCCAATGAACTGCTTCAGCCGAATCAGATCGGCCACTCGGGCGTCCAGTTTGGCTCGCTGAGCCACCCCGTTTTCGTATGCCAGGTCGCGTCTGAGCTGCCGGGCCAACCACCCCAATTCTCCTGCGGAACTCTGGTAGAGCTCCATCTCCTGCTCGTTCAGGGGCTCCTCGAGGTGTTGTCGCCGGTCCCGTTGCACCGGCACCGGCTTCAGTGACAGAGCGTAGTTGGCGAACTCCAGGGCGGCCGAGGACTTCTTGAAGGCTGCCTCCAGGTAGTCCGGATTGATGCCGCCCTCCAAGTCATCGACGTGGGTCACCAGGATCCCTTGCAGCACTTGTTTCACCCTGTAGTAAAACAGGGCCGGCTCTAAACATGACTCCTCCCAGCCGTCCTCCTGCAGGTGCTCCCTCAGGGCTAGCCAAAACATGCTTGCTCCGGCTCGCGCCGGCAAAGGTAGAACTCCGTGGTGCCAGTCCAGGTAAAATCCATTCGCTGTTCCACCCGGCCGTGGTGCCAGGAGTCCTCAAGCTCCCGGTGCGTCCCGTCTTGCAACCTCATTGTAGTTCGGCGCCGCGGTTGTAGTCGATCAAGTGCCACTGGGGGTTCCGTCGTGGACAAAGGTAAGAAAAGCCGCTGTCGAAGAACTCGGTGTATCCTCAGCAAGCGGTCTTCCCCGACAAACTCCCACTCGTCTTGCCAGGGTTCCTCGTCCGGGGTGTCGTCGCTGTACGGCTCCTCCATCTCTGCGTCGCCTTCCTCATCCAGGTCGCCGGCTGCCAGGGCGTGCCTCCCACCATAGTGAGCCATCTGCACGGCATAGTCCAGGCACATAGTGCTTTGAATTCCTCGGCAGAGGGCCAGAGGGCTCGGCAGAGTCCAGGCGGCAACTCTTGAAACTCATGTTCCGGTCGGTGTCGGCCCGCCGGGCATTGGCACTGCCGGCCAAGGGCGCTCAGGAGGAGCTCGCCATTGGAAAGCCACCCGGTCCTTCTCCTTATCGTCCCGGCCCCGCCTTGGCCTCGCAAACCGTAGGCGCAAAGATCTCCCAGAGCGAACTTGCCCCCGGCCTCCTTGAGCTTCTTGGCCAAGACGGCGTCGAAGATCCCTGCGTACTCCGGGCCCGGCGCCTCCAGCAACTAGTATCTGCCGAACCGGTGCTGTTGAAAGTCGCACCAGCTGGGCCGCTATGCGCCGGCCGATCTTCCTTGTACTTGGCTCCCCTCGCGGCCTTCCTTTCAAAGTGCTCCAGAGTCGGCTGTCGAAGGTGACCAGGAGCAGGTAGGGCCTGTGCTCGGCGAGGGTTCTCCAGGTCGCCTTCTCCGAAGACAGAGAAAGCAAGTCACAGCCGTCGGTGGCCAAGGGGCGGCTGCTGGTCCAACTGAACTCACGCGCGGCCAGGGTCGTCACTGTGCACGGGCCGCCGTAGGGCTCAAAGAGAACCGTGTCCTGGAAATCTCTGGTGCACCACTGCTCGGCCAGGGTAAAGTCGCGGCGCAAGGCCGCCCAACTGCGGCCATCCTCGGCGGCTTGCCGCCGGCACTTTGTGCTCAACTCCTTGGCCCGTCTTTCTGAAACCTGCGCTAACTTGTCGCCCTTGCTCACGCCTCCTCTTCCCAAGTCAGGCTTTTCACCTCGGCGTGGGAGCGAAGCCAGGGTTGCTGCGCTCATCTCGTGCAGCAAGGGAAGCCTACCTTCGGCCATGTAGTAGACGATGAGGTCCTCGGCGGTGACGGCTGGGTCCTCCCGGTTCCCCTTGGGCTCTGCCAAGGGCTTGGAGTCGAGGTCAGGGGCATCTCGATGCCGAGGCTCGTCACCTTCACCTTGCCCGCGGCTAGGTCCAACACCATCCCAAAGGCGGTCATAGTCGGCAAGGACAAAAGAAGTGGCGTCCCGCCGCTGGGCAGCTCCGCCGAGAAAATCTCACCGTAGATGTTGTCGAGGTACACGGGCACCTTCCACACGGTGAGCTGGCTTTCTGACTGGCCGTTGGCGAAATGAAAGTTCTTGGTCTGGCCAGTCCTGCTGCAGGTGACTCCCTCCGGGAGCCATTTCTCGAAAGCCTTTCGCCACGCCGCTGAGTGAAGGCACGAAGTGCACGCGGTGTCCAGGAGACAAAGCTTGGACTCGTCTAGAGGAGAGTCTTGTCCTCCCTCTATTCGTGGTGCTGTTGCGGCAAGGGCATTGTGCAAAAACTAAGGTCTGCGGTGTCGATCTCTTCAATTCAAACTCAAACTCATTGGGCTCGGGCCCTGAATTCTCCATTCCATGCATCTCCACCTCCTTGCCGTGGCTGGCATAGTCGAGGAAGTGGGGTGAAATCGTCTCCTCACATTGGCTCCGGTCAGCTGTGCCCCCTTCGGCATCCGAAGAAGTAGCCGGTCTTGTCCAGACGCTGACGAAGCACCAGAGGGCATTTGCACACCACCGACCTTGGGCAGATGATCTTCGCGTTCTCCTCCTGGTACCCGCTGCCCTTGGTTGCTGCGGTCTCCTTTCCTGTGCTGGCTTGGCTTGCGTAGGGCCGAAATATGCGGCATGGGTTCTCGGGGTCGCCGGGCTTCTCGGGCTCCTTCGTGTAGCCTTGTGTCGCCGGTGGCACCAGGGGGCCTTGGTACTCGCGAAGTTGCACCCATCTCTTGGTGCAGCCCTTCTTCAAAACCAGCTCGCCCCGGTAGAGTCGGCGAAGGCGCTCCACCACTTCATCGCGTGTCCCTGAGGTCTGCACGCCCCAGCGGCCACAATCTCCTTGGAGCTCGCGCAGCCTCAGCCCCTCTCAAGCTCCAGAGGTCTCACCTTTGCAAAGCTGAGCACGTCATGCACCTCGATGTCCTTGGCCTTGACCGGGATCACGATGTGCTGCTCGGGCTCCATGGGCTTCTTGGTGGCCACGGTGGGCTTGAGGGCTGCCACTGCTCTCGAAAGGGAACGGCGGGGCCTCCGACACAAACTCCCACTCAGCGCTGCTGGCTGCAGCCGTGGGCTCGGCTCTCGGCTTGGCTGGGCACGCTTCCGCTTCTCGTCCAGCTCCGTCTTGCCCAGGTCCTGGTCCATGTTATTGTCGTAGCCATTTTGGCTCAAGTGGTTCGAAGGCCCAAACTTCTAGATTTCCAGTTCGTTTA